GGTCAACAGTGGCAGTACAGGACCCAGAGGATCGCTGGAAAACATTATAGTAGTTGCTGCAGCTATTACAGGGTTTTACCATCTCCACCAGGGATAAAATATGTATACTTAAATTGGGGCCAATGTGGCCCAATGTACTGTAAGTATACATACATATTTATACCTGGAGTTCAGCTTTAAATAGATAACATGGTGACTAGCATTATAAGTTATTGAGACAAGCTCTCTTATTGGCCCATCCATAGAAGACACTGAGGAATGGTAAGCAGCATTGATAAGTGCTTCACAAACTGTAACTTGCAAGGAAAAACTGGTAAGGAGTTGAACTGTTGGATTGATTTGGAAATTCACAGCATAAAAAACCATTTGCCGAGAATTTGCCACATTCATTGCTTGTCTACACTGATCAACCATAACATTATGACCTCGAGAGGTTTAGTGAATAACATTGTTTATCCCCTTACAATGACACCAGGAAGTAGGTGTGTCCTGCCACACTGCAAAAATGGTTCAATAATGTTTTGAGGAACACCACAACGAGTTTGGGGTGCTGATTTGGCCTCAGAATTCTCCAGATCTCAATCCAGTCGAGTCTCAGTGGGATGTGCTGGAAAAACAAGTCTGATCCATGGAGGCCCCACCTCGCAATTTAAAGGAGGCCATGCCTGGATGGGTCAGGGCTGTTTTGGCACAAAAATGGGACCCACTCAATAGTCGGCGGGTGGTCATAATGTTATAACTGATCGGTGTATATTTGGCAACCTGTTTCACTTATTACTAGTGCTTGTCCAGTTGTGACAATCAATGTCACTATCTGTCGCACTGCTTGCCAAGACTGAGGCAAAAACAACAAACCGCAAATTGGGGTCAGAAGATCAGAATTGCTCATTCTGTGGACTGCTATTGACCTAGTTAGTTAAAGATAGTAAAAGTATAACCAGCAGTATAGTATAGGGGTGCTAAATCACATTCAGGAAGCCTACCTCCCTCCCTAAAAGTTCAATAAATATAGAGTCTGTACACCAACATGTAATGCAAAAAAGTACTATGTTGGTAATATGATACAAATAGTACATAAAAGGTACAGATTGTATTTTATATACAGATAGGCAGCATAAGGCATTCAAATATATGATACAATGCCATAGCAATAATGTCAGGCTCAAAAAGTGAGGTCCATTAATCACTAATTCCCTTTTTTTTTTTTTTGCATCTCCCTGACATTATAGCTGCAGCTACTATCTCCGGTATGCCTATCTGCTGCAAAACATTGTAAGGTATGATTCAATGGCTTATGCTGCCCATCTATATATTACATTACTTTATTTACTATCTGATTCTGTACATATAATACATTTTATGAACTATTGTACCATATTACCAATACAATTCTTTATGTGTTGAATATGGGTCTGCAGACTCTATTTATACATACAGTATTTAATGATATTGACCTAAACATGGAAGCTTGCTCTAGCCATGAGTGCATGTTAATGACCCATGCTTTAGTGAGATCACAAGGGAACAAAAGGAAGAGAGGTGGTCTATTCCTTCCAGCCAATTTTTCCATTGGCCAGAAGACACTGCCATAATTGTCCTGTGTACATGGATACATATTTATCATCAAAACTGACTGTTATAGGCCAAATCAGACAATGGAAGCAACCTGCAATGGACTTACAACACCAAAGTCAACTGCACACTGAATTTGCACCCACCCCCGTTTCAAAATTGCATCCTAATTCAATAGCCCATTCTGCATGTGAAAGTTCTCCAATGAAACACTTACTAGAGACGTAGAGCAGAATTTTCCTTCCAGCTTTATCCATAACAATGGCAGAAATTATTACTGCCACCAGCCTTACCAGTCCAACGAGCGCAGCATCATACCTTCCTGACTAAAGAGGAGATAAAGACAAATGTCACCCCAAAAATACGCAATCTGTGTAATATGAGGGCCATGGAATAGCTGATCCTGATCATTTACAAGGGACAAAGTCTACACCATCCTTGACAAAGATTTGTAGCATAAGAATTTGATTTTGAAATACTTTTCTTTATCAATAAGTGTAACATGAATAAACAATTCCTTTTGGGACTTTAGTAAGGGAGGAGAGAAAGGAACAGTAAGGAGGGTTATTAGAATTAGCTGGAAGTAAAATATAAATATAAAATGTAGGTTAGCTGTGGTAGGTCTTCCAAAGAATATACTGTAAATCTGGGAGACCAAGATTTTAAATATAGTTGAGTATACCAGAAACATGGCTTAAATAAAGCCATGGCTAAGCAAAGGTTTGGAATGTTGTAGTGGGCTTAGAATGGATAAAGCAGCCAAAAAATGGCTACTGCGGTTGTCATTTAAAAAAAATCTTTTATGACAATGAATTCACCAAAGATTTGAATCTAGATTTTAGAGTCAGAGCCCCCCTTCTGTTCCCAACCTACTTTGTAAACCGGACTCTTTATTTTAACTTTGTAACTATTAGGGTTGCACAGATACCAAGTACAGTACTCGGTACAAGTACGAGTACATGTACCGATACTTTTGAGCTCCAAGACTACACTAGAGAAAAATTCAAAAGTTAGGAGGCAGCTGTCATTTGTAAGGAGCACACGGAGCTCCTGGGATTTGTACATCTCTGTTTTAATGTACGATTTTGTTTTTATAAATATAAATAAAGGGATGCACCGATACCAGTTTTTCAAGTACTAGTACTGGTACTTGCCGAGTACTTACAAGTACGAGTACTGATACATTTTTGTTTATTGTCATGTGACAGTTTTTCTAAAACAATAAAGACTAATGATTTCAGGACAGTGGTGGAGTGCCAGAGCCAGGTCCCAGCTGCAACCCCTGCAACCGCTGCAACCCTGGTAATTCTCATAAAAATGCCAAGTATCTGCACTGGTACTCGAAAAGTATCTGTGCATCCCTAGTAACTATGTAACCACGGAACTGACAATATCTCTGTAGATATGGCTTATCATTGTGTTGTCACACAGTAGGTGACAGTATTACCACTAATTCACTGATAATGCATAGTGTTGAATAGGGGCTGAAGATAATAATCAGGTAAATCTTGTTTAATATAATGCAGGTGAAAAGGTTTCATTATAGAACATACAGTATATGGTAATTAAATAAAGTCTTCCTTCAATGCTTTCTGTGAAAAGGCTTTTTTCTTTTATGATTTCCCATCCCTCTAACTGCTAGGTACATGGAGAAAAGTATAGTTCAGTTTATGTATGGACATCCTCATCCACAAATTGTAGCAGGGCTAGGTCAAGAATAAAAAACTGAAGGATACATGTACAAGGAAAATATAGAGGCTGCCCTTGCTGACCTCTCCTAAAAACGCCAGATAGCTGGATATCATGCTGGTCCAGGTGCTTCAGTACGTTCTAAATTAACGACCAAGAGCAAACATAACAGCAGTTCTGTTTTTACTCCAGGGGCGTCCGGCAGGATAAGGTTTGCTGCCTGGTCCCCTCTTCTCTCATGCAGCTGTTGGGCTTTCTGTCCTTGACCGAGTGCCCGACTTTTCAGAGGGTGTGGCACCAAGATGACTCTCAGTCATTTTGGTGCCACCCCCTATAAAGGTGTCACCCGGTTCAGGCTTCACCCACCTCACCCCCCTTGTGACGCCACTGTTTTATTCTTGACTTTCCTTTCATAATTGTTCTGGGCTGGTGTCTCAAAAAGTAAGGGTCAACCCAGCAACTAGCATTTTCAGAAGTAGGCCAGTAATGGCAGCCTTCAAATTACTCAGTACAGGCTTGCTTTCAACCCTGGGCTCCAGTTCTGATGCATTGTACAATACATTCTTTTATTCAAGATTTCACAGTCCTATCGCTCCTCACCAGAATGACTTTGGTCTTGTTGAAGATGGACTCCAGGAATGTCAGTATTGGGTTGATCCCAGACATCTGTTGTAGGAACCTCATGAGGACAGCAGTGAGAATGGGTTTGTAGTAGTGCCGTTCAGCCAGCTCACTACAAGTTATTGAACTGTTCTGAAAACAAGATGTGACACCATGTTGCTTGTATATCTTCTGCAAATTCCAACTTTTATAACATATACTGTATATCCCAATGCACTATTTGTTGGGATTCCCAAATGTCAGTGTGTCATTGTTCGGGAGACCCACAAGTGTCACTTTGTCATTGTTCTGGGGACCTCTACCAAGTGTCATTGTCATTATTTTAGAGACTCCAAGTGTCACTGTGTCATTGTTCTGGGAACCTCTCCCAAGTGTCACTGTGTCATTGTTCTGGGGCCCCCAATTGTTAGTGTATTATTGTTTTGGAATACCAAATGACAGTGCATCATTGTTCTGTGACCCCCCCAGTGTCAGTGTGTCATTATTTGGTCCCCAAGAATCAGTTTGCCATTATTCTGACCACCCCCCCTTCCCCAATGTCATTGTGACATTGTTCTTGTTTCATTGTATGTTTGTTCTGCAACACCTGAATGTCAGTGTCACTTTTTGGGACCCCTTAAATGTAATTGTTCTAGGACCCCAAGTGTGTGTGTGTGTGTGTGTGTCATTGTTCGGGTCTCCCAAGTGTATTTATGACACTCTTTTGGAACCCCAAAGTGTCCATGTGTCACTTTTCTTGGATCCCTAAATGTCAGTGGGTCATTGTTACTAGGTATCAGCGTGCCACTATTCTTGGATCCCAATGATCAAGGTCACACTGTTGTGGGGCCACCAAATGTTAAGGTGTTGTTGTTTGGTGTTCCCAAGTATCAGTGTGTTGCCTTATGGGCTGCAATACCTTATTGACGATGCTTTCCTCAATTCTCGTAAACTCCTCTCTGTATGCTGTGTCTGGCCCTCTGAGCCACTCTAGAGCCTTCAGGGCCTTTTCTCGTTTCCCTTTTGCAATTAGGAATCGCGGGGAGTCCGGCATGAAGCACAGGAGGACGAGCATGGTAATTACAGGTATTTCACCCAATATTGCCAGCCAGCGCCATGGCACAACGATACCTAAGAAGACAAAAGTCAATACTCATCTTCATGAGAAAATCTGGGCATTTCAGTGTGAGGCAAGAAAGACAATAATCCCAGATGGTGTGTAAATTTATGTAAAAGAGATTTGATTGACGTGTATGGATAAAGATGTAAATATTTCCAAACACAGCAGATATTCCAGCAACAAAATGTATTCTGCATATTCTCACATATTCTGCCGAGACTTCTGCTCACACCTGATTTCTTGCCTAATAATCTGAATTTGATTGATAATATGAGTTGTAGAGCTCACTTAGGCTGGCCATACTCTGCTCGAAATTTAACGGCATGTGACCATGTCAGCACCACTTGGTTTGACAAAAGCTGAATATATGATGTATGATCAACTTACTCCTAAAATGTCTGCCAACATACAATGCTCAACAAAGTTAACGTGTATCCAAAGTTAAACCTGTTTTTTTCTGTTTTGAATGACGTAGGGAAGGGTTAGAACCACTGATTTTTCTTGCTGTCAATAAAGATTCACCCTCCCAATTTGCCTTGGTGATTATTGTCAATGTGACATAAAGTAATGGGAAACACAAAATATTATGATTGTCACTAGAACAGGAAGTGAGGGGAAATCTTTCAGAAAAAATAGATTTTCTTCCTTGCAAAACTACAGTTAGTATTAAAGTGCATCTAAACCTGAGAATCAAGTATGTGATAAATTACATCTTACCAACCTTTAGATGAGGTAGCTCCGTCTTTTGCTTTCTTTTTTTGTGTGTCATTTTCCCCCTTTATTTTTAACTGGTTATCCTGTACATAACCTACTTCCTGTCCCTTTGTGTCTACACTCATTTCACCACTGTTTCTATGGAGGGAGCCATCATTGCCACCCAGGCTGTACTTTATACATGTCTACCTTTGTTCATCTCCATTACATAGGGGAAGGGGAGACTAGTAATTTACACAATAGAAAGAAAAAAACATTGTTTTATGCACCTAGGCCATCTCAGAGGAAGTGACAAGGACAATGTGTTTCTGGGAAAGCCAACAGGTATGTTCTGTGCTTGCTGAAAATTTTCTGAATAAAAGAAAACTAATATGGCTGCTACATTAAAGGGCTAGTAAGCTGCAACATATTCCATTTTTGTTCTGGGGTTTAGTTATGCCTTATGTTTTCAGGGCAGATTTCTTGGAATCTTCTTGCCTCTTCTTCTGTAATACATCCTCTTCAAGTTTACACCAAGACCAAGTTGCATTCAACCTGTTGCATAAAATATATGGGATCCCTGGCAGTGTATTTAGGTTTAGTGGACAGTAATTCTATTTTCTGCCGCATATTTGCCTGTAGGTAAATGTTTTCTCAACCGAACTTGAATTACACTTTAAATAAGCTATTTGCAGGTTAGGTCCACTGTCATACAACATGGACTCCATAACATAAGCCAATGCACAGTTCCCTAGAATGCCTCCGCACCTTGCAAGTCTGCCTGTGGGTGATTGATGTGTATGCACTTGAGCTGCCTTTAGAAAGTATATTATTTTTTTGTTAAAGTAAAACTCCAACCAAATTTATTTTTAATTGTTTTGTTTCTCAAAGAGTATGGAAGGGTAAAAACTCTATTACGTTTTCATCGTTGTCTCTGTCCCCATTTGGAGAGATTTCCCCCCACTTCCTGTTGTGCCACCAGGACACCAGGGGAAATCTGCTCCAATGGAAGGTTTAGAACTGCTGTCAGAGTTTTATTTCCATTCGTGTCTTTGTTAGGGAGATTTCACATCACTTCCTGTCTTGCCATTTGCCAGAAATTGAGCCCCCCAACAGAACAAATTAAAAGCCTAACAGATGTTCAGATTCTTCTAGCAAAATAAGATTTTGGTTGGATTTCTGCTTTATGAAGAGAACATATAGAGTAATCACAATCAGGGTTTTACGTACTGAGCACATACAGGACCAAGGCCCCACATACTGCCATCAGCTGCGGACATGCCCCCAATGCACCCCTCACTCCGGCATGAGAGATCTCCGAAATATAAACCTGCGACATAAACAGACATGTTACATTGTTCAGTTTACAAGGCAAAATAATGACAACATAAGTAAGGGATTTGTTTGATGAATTATTGAGCGAAAATGTATAATATTGGTAAATCGGTAAAATATGAAGCAGTTCGTTAAGAATGGCAAATGTCCAATTCTACATCAGACATGATCAAGTGACAGACAGATGTTAACCACCAAGGAAATACATAACCCAGCATGTCCTGTCAACTGCTAGTCTAATGGGTATGTCTGGGATTTGTAGTCCCCCTACATGTGCCCATGTGTAGGGGCACTACACATGGGCACACACTTAAAATGTGTGCTTATTATTTTTCTTATTTAATAACAATGAAAATCATTATCTATTGAAAACTATTTTTTAGTTAGGGTAAGGGCATACTGCACAAATATTGAGATGCATTTGTCCCATTATAGCACTGCAGGAAATCACCTAAAGCGTATTTAACCCCTGTCTGCCTCTCTTTTTGTGTCTCTATAGTGTCTCTATAGTGTCCATTGTCACTGAGACAGAAAATGAAGGAAAATCTAAAATTTCGAGTTGTCACCAGCACAGAAATAGAGGGGAAATCTTCTAATAGGGTCGCTTATTCTGGGGAAAGGGATTTCCTTCACTTTGGATTCCTCTCCTGTTAAATGTACAGGAAGTGAAGTGAAATCTCCCCAATAGAAGACATGGCAACAAATGGGCAATCATTACCATGCATGGGCAACAAATGGGCTATCATTTTAGTGCATGAGAAACAAATGAGCAGTTCTTATAATGCACGGGCAGCAAATAGGCAATGCTTAAAATACATGAGAAACTAACGGGCAGTCCTTAAAATACATACGTTGTAAACTCTCACGAGCAGGGTCTTCCTAACCCTATTCTACTGAAAATGTATTGTAACTGTACAGTGTCTCCTATTGTGCAAAGTGTTGGCGCTATATAAAGACTGTATGATAATAATGATAGGAAACAAATAGGCAGTTCTTACAATGCATGGGCAACAAATGGGCAGTTTTTAGAATCTATGTATAACAAATGGGCAATCCTTACAGTGAAGGGGCAACAAATGGGCAATCCTTACAGTGCATGGGAAACAAATGGGCAGTTCTTAAAATGCATTGCAACAAATGGGCAGTTCTTAAAATGCATTGCAACAAATGGGCAGTTCTTACAATACATATTTAAAATCATACAGTGGTGTGGAGTTCAGATTTGATCCCACAGTGCATCGTTCGGTAACTGTCAGCCGTGAATACACCCACTGACATATACAAGACATGACAAGGAATGATGGAGAGACATCTGGGCACATTACAGAACACAGAAAAAAAAAAGTTGGCATGAACATCAGATTATAGTTTATCCAAAAAGCAGAAAACCGTTTGGAACAATTTCCACTGGCAAAAGGGAGCAAATGGGGAAATGAAAGTAAATGAATGGTACGGGTTTTTAGTGTATTCAAACACTTTTATCACCATAAGAGGAAATAGAACCTAGTCAAGTAACAATGTATCTCTCTTATGGGCCTTTTAGCAGAAATGTCTGCAGATCCTGGCATCCCAAATTTCAGCAAATATACATTTCCTGCCAGTCACACATCAGTGTAAATTTTATGGCAAGTGAATGTGAATTTACCCGTGTCACCATGAAGTACAAAGCCGCACTGTCCCCAATCACAAAGAGATGGCAGTGACAGCATTCCGCACATTTCTCTATGCATGAGCCATATGTCTCTGTCCCAAGAATATTATTTCATTTAGAACCTTCTGACTGCAGAGAAGTTCCCTTGCCCATGACTCTGTATGCAGGTTAATGTTTTATCAAATACAAAATAATTAGATATTTTTGATCTTGCCTTCCAATGCCTGCATCCAATCAGATTGTTCAGGTGTTTTGAGAGCCAGTGGGGCAGACTAGCAAGATACTGAAGCTTGGCCCAGTGGGAGATTCCTCCATCCACACAGTTTAGTGTAGATGGAAGAATCTGTTGCACTTTTTCCATCTGACCATAGAAAATCTGCAGATAATTGTAAGGTGTATGGCCAGCTTTAGAAAGAGGGCTGGCTTATAGGAATAAGAGCTTGTTCACTATCCATTGATAAGCTGGCACTGGTCCTTTATCAAGTTGTATTGTTTATAATACAGTAGGCAAAAGTAAGGCCAGGGCGCTGGTGGCAAAGCATGGCAGGGGTAAATATCAAGAATACCTGAACATGATTACTATATACTGTATATTATAATATATTATACTTTTTATATTTGCTTACCTGGTTTTCTATTATGTTTCTATTAGCTTTTTACTCATACAGGAGATACATAGCCAAGGAGGAAAACATATATATTGCATTATCTAAAGAGCTTTTGTGCTGCCATTGTGTTGTATGAAGATACACATTCATTTTAGCACATGGCAGCCTAAGATTTACCCTGGGCTATCACAGGCAGAAGATTGAGTAAAGCGGCCATCTCAGGCCACAACCCCACCAGAGGTCCAGCAAACAGGCTACTTCATCAAGTGTAATTCCTTGGTGACTGTCAGTGGCATTATTTCTACTCTTCAGAATTAATGGGAGCCAAAGACTAAGGCACCATATTTGACAATCCATCTTTTTCCACTGGCAACAGTTACCTTTCAGTAGACATGTGCGATTCGTTTCGTTCCGAATCGAAATTCGGACGAATTTTCGTAAATTCGGACATTCGGATGTATCCCAATTCCAAATTACAGACATAACGAATGCAAACGAATCCGAATTTCCATTTCCGAAATTTCGGTAGCGTTCGCACGAACGTTCGTTTCGTTTTCTGTTCTTATTCGTTTCTTATTTGTTTCGTTCATTGGAGCAAAGTGACATTAGAGAAGGAGAAAAATATTTTTTCCCCCTCAAATGTCACTTTTGCTGCAAACGAACGAAACGAATAAGAAACAAATAAGAAACGAATAAGAACAGAAAACGAAACGAACGTTCGTACTAACGCTACCGAATTTCGTCCGAATCCGAATTCCGAATTCACTTTCACACCCGAATCCTGAAAAACGAAATAACACAAATCCGAATTTAAAACGAAACAAATTTTTTGGCAGTGCACATGTCTACCTTTCAGCCATCTAAGGTGTACTGGAATAGAAAGGTCCTTGAAAGTGACGCACTTACTGGTATTGAGGATGATGTTATGCCTCCGGCTAGGCCTGTGAGAATTCTTCCCAGGAGAAGCATGGAGATATGCTGAGCACTGCCCATTAGCAAAAAACCAATGGCTGCAGGAAGCGTGGAGAACATAATGCTGAGTTTACGTCCAAGCCAATCATTCAGGAACATTGAGCTTAATCCACCGACACAGGTGCCCAGAGCAAACACTGACTGCAAGGGAAATACAATTCAGAAGGTATTAGTGTGACTTACAAATATAGAGTTAAGTAGTAAAAGGAGCAGAGTCCTCCACCAGCACAGAGTATTTCAGGAGAGGAGAGTTAGATAGAGGAAGGAGCAGAGTCCTCCACCAGTGCGTATTTTAGGAGTGGAAAGTTAGATAGAGGAAGGAGCAGAGTCATCAAGCAGTGCAGAGTATTTTAGGAGAGGGGAATTAGAAAGTAGAAGGAGCGGAGTCCTCTGGCAACAAAGAGTATTTCAGGAGAGGGGAATTAGAAAGTAGAAGGAGCGGAGTCCTATGGCAACAAAGAGTATTTCAGGAGAGGAGAGTTAGATAGAGGAAGGAGCGGAGTCCTCTGGCAACAAAGAGTATTTCAGGAGAGGAGAGTTAGATAGAAGAAGGAGCGGAGTCCTCGGGCAGTGCAGAGTATTTTAGGAGAGGGGAATTAGAAAGTAGAAGTAACAGAGCCTTCTGGCAACAAAGAGTATTTCAGGAACGATTTAATAATTTTGATGCACACTACTTAAGCTAAAGCATTATATATTTGACCCCAGTCCATATCAGTTAAATCACCTCAACAACATGGCAGTCCATATTTCTGCTTTAAGCATTTGTTGGCCTGCATGAGAATATACAAAACTGTAAACTCATTACCCCAAACCAAGACTTCTCCGCTTCCGTAATGTGCATAGTGGGATCAGCATCTCCTTCCAGAGCTGGAATGACCGGTGAGGGGTAAACCAACGCGTAACCAAATGTGAAGTTGCCCAAGACAGCAGAAAAAGCAGCCAGGAACATCTTCCTGTTATTTAGTGTTCTGTGGAGAAGAGACACAAGTGAACAATGCAGTTATCTATGGTCTCTATACTCATGGGGTAGACTTTATTGACATGTATGATTGTTGTCGCTTCACTTGTTTCTGTATGGTCTAATTAAATACCAGGATATTTTGAAATTTAGGGTTAGCAAAATCCTTAAAGGCCATCTCCTTCAAAACTAAGATAGTTAAATGCAGTTAAATACCAGCCGAATCGCATGCTGGATCCCTATATACCAGGAATACCCGTTTAGAGCCAACAGGTGAAACCAAGTAATGCTGTTAAATTCTCCTGATGTCTTCACCACACCACACCCTGTCTCTCTGACAACATTGAAATTTCCCTGCAGTAGTTTGTGTCTCTGCCAGCCCAACCCCTTCCCACTCCCACACACACACACAATGGGGAGATTCCCTGCGGTAGTGTGTGTCTCTGCCCCTCCCACAATTATGAGATTTCCGTGCAGTAGTTTGTGTCTCTACACCTCCCACAATAGTGAGATTCCCCTGCAGAAGTTTGTGTCTCTGCCGCTCCCACAATGGTGAGATTTCCTTGTAGTAGATGATGTGTCCCTGCCCCTCTAACAATGGTAAGATTTCCCTGCAGTAGTTTGTGTCTCTGCCGCTCCCACAATGGTGAGATTTCCTTGTAGTAGATGATGTGTCCCTGCCCCTCTAACAATGGTAAGATTTCCCTGCAGTAGTTTGTGTCTCTGCCCAATGGTGACATTTATCTGCAGTAGATGGTGTTTCCCTGCCCCTCCCACAATGGTGAGATTTCCCTGCAGTAGTCTGTGTCTCTGCCCCTCACACAATGATGAGATTTCCTTCCAGTAGTTTGTGTCTCTGCTGCTCCCACAATGGTGAGATTTCCTCACAGTAGTTTGTGTCTCTGCCCCTCCCACAATGGTGAGATTTCCTCGCAGTAGTTTGTGTTTCTGCCCCTCCCACAATGCTGAGATTTCGCTGCAGTAGTTTGTGTTTCTGCCCCTCCCACAATGGTGAGATTTCTCTACAGTAGTTTGTGTCTCTGCCCCTCCCACATTGTGAGATTTCCCTGCAGTAGTTTGTGTCTCTGCCCCTCCCACAATGGTGAGGTTTCCCTGCAGTAGTGTCTATATGGTGGCCACCATGTTGCTCTATAACAGCAGGATTCCGCCATTATTTATTCTACATTATAAAGAATCCTTCCAGGGAGGGTAACACCACCACCAAAGCCATTATCTGTCTTTGTAATGGGCACAGCATAACTACCATTGTCTCTGATATATGTAGTCATAGTGACATATCAATCCTTGTGATGTTTTCAACCTGTGACTAACGACCGTGTATACAGTCACCCAACAGTAACTTTTTCAGATGTTGTAACCCATAAAGAAAGCAGAAGTAGAAATGACTGTTTTGCTCTATGTCTTATGTCTGGAAAATGAAGCAATGAATGTGCATGCTTTCCTACAAGGGATTCAGTTAGATTTTCATGGTAAATTACAGTTAGTTCAGCTTTCACTATGGACCTTTGTCATAGGTTTTATCATAAAGCATGCACTGTGTTAGACACAATTACTATTTTTAAAAATTGCATTTCTACATCTGTCCTCTGGGGGGCACTGTTGATGCTGTCACTGAAAAGCACTTTGACTGATGGCGGCCACCGATGGATACGCCAACCAATGTAAAGCTGGCACCCTGCAACCCAGTTGTACAAGTTCTATGAAGTCTCATTTCCATTTGCCAAGATGGGGCAAGAACTGACCAAAACAATCTATTCAACATATGGGCAGCACAGTGGCTTAATAGTTAGCACTTCTACATTGCAGCGCAGGGGGTCCCTGGTGGGAATCCTGGTCAGGATACGATCTGCATGGAGTTTGCATATTCTACCTCTTCTTGTGTGGGTGTGCTCCGGTTTCCACCCGCATTCCAAAGACATGCTGGTAATTGGCTCCTGTCTAATTTGGCCTAGTATGTGTGTATTACGGACCTTAAGGTACCCACACACCTTACGATAATCGTACGATAATCGCGGGAAATCCTGCGACTGTACGATTATCGTAAGGTGTGTGGAAGCCGTGCGACCTCTACTATTGTAAGGTCGCACAACTTTTAACTTACGGACATGTTCGAAAACCCGCCGAGCATCGTACGATGTTCGGCGGGTCTGTAGCATTTTTGTAAGATAAAAGCCGAACGGGCCGGTGTGCGCAAGCGCACACTGCCCGTTCGGCATTGCGCTCATCGGAAGCCCGCCCCTCAGGGGGCGTGGCTTGCGATCATTGCAAGTACGATCTGCCTATGCAACATAGCCAGATCGTACGTTTTTTTAAGTACCTTACAACCATCGCAAGACAAAAGTCTTGCGATGGTTGTAAGGTGTGTACCCAGCCTTAGATTGTAAGCTCCTTGAGGGCAGAGACTGATATGAATGTAAGGCCCTCAGTAAATTGTTGGAACCATATAAATCCCATTTATCCTTTACGTATGTTTGCTGGTAAATTTAAAGAAGCCCATACAATCATAAAGTAGCACTTGTTGATTGCTTAAGGATAGAAATGTACTTTGCGTGAAACAACGCCCTCCTTACCATTTTGTCTTGACTTGTATTGTGACTGTAATGTCTTCCTTATATTGTAAAGCGCTGCGCAAACTGTTGGCGCTATAGAAATCCTGTATACTAATGACGCATTCTATGGCAATCGTCTCAGTGCTCATGTTCAGTCCATAAAGAATAGCTCTATAGCAAGTCTACAAGTCATTGAACTGGATTTCAGATGAGAAAAGGCTTAGATGACATTGTGTGTCCCTGCTATTGTGGAACTACAAGCTTCGGCACGTGCTGCCAGATAATAATTTGTGACTTCTAGTTCCTCAACAGTTGGCCAGCTATAGCTCTCTACTTTCTGGATTTCCTCAGATCAGTTGGCAGCTGTCCAGTCTTTCTTTTTATTTTAAACCCTTGAGGGCCCATTCACACCTTATGCATTGTGATACTGCATGGTAAAATGCGCACTAATGCACAGGTAAATGTAGGCTGCTCACTGGTGCAATTCAGCACTTGTATACAGCAAAACACACCTGCACTATAGTGTACAGCAACGCACAGAGGTGAATCATCTGTGAATAAATAATGTGTTTGGAGATTCCTCTTTCCATGCACATTCATGCCTTTGTCTATGCCCTGTGTCTATGTGTTTTCATGCTCTGGAGAAGGCACGTCACCATACTGTGGACAAGAGCCCATTAAAACAGCATCTATGTACATGCATAGACGTGCACTGTATGTATTATAGATGTGACTGGATCCTAATTCAGCCTGCATGGAAATGTGTGCATACAGTAGTGTGAATGGGCCCTAACGCAGCTCGCCACAATGCTTTAAAATGTGTGTACACAGTAGTGTGATTGGACCCTAACGCAGCCCACCTCAGAGCATTAAAACATGTGCATACATTAGTCTGAAGGGGCCCTAACGCAGCTCGCCTCAATGCATAAAAACGTGTGCACACAGTACTGTGAATGGGTCCTAACACAGCCCGCTTCAATGCATTAAAACATGTACATACATTAATGTGAATGGGCCCTAACACAGCTCACCTCAATGCATTAATACATGTGCACACATTAGTGTGAGCGGGCCCTAACGCATCCCGCCTCAATGCATTAAAACATGTACATACAGTAGTGTGATTGGGCCCTAATGCAGCCCGCAATAATGCATTAAACCATGTACACACAGTAGTGCCAGTGGGCCCTTAGCGTTCAGAGTTTTGTATCGCTTTAAGTCTGGCTTCATCCATTTGCTGTATACTGTATGAAGTGTCATTTCCATTCAATCAGCTTACAGACAAATCATTATTGCTCAGCAAATCTTGACTTGTTAAGAAGAAAAATATCTATTACTGATTGTAGTATTGTACAAAGTGTATACACACAGGGAATACATTCACATTGTCCCAGGGATCGCAGAGTGTATACACACAGGAGAAAACATTCACATTGCCCCAGGGATCGCAGATTGTATACACACAGGGAATACATTCACATAGTCCCAGGGATCGCAGAGTGTATACACATAGGGAATACATTCACATAGTCCCAGGGATCACAGAGTGTATATACACAGGAGAAAACATTCACATAGTCCCAGGGATCGCAGATTGTATACACACAGGAAAATACATTCACATAGTCCCAGGGATCGCAGAGTGTTTACACACAGGGAATACATTCACATAGTCCCAGGGATCGCAGAGTGTATACACACAGGAGAAAACATTCACATTGCCCCAGGGATCGCAGATTGTATACACACAGGAGAATACATTCACATAGTCCCAGGGATCGCAGAGTGTATACACACAGGAGAAAACATTCACATTGCCCCAGGGATCGCAGATTGTATACACACAGGGAATACATTCACATAGTCCCAGGGATCGCAGAGTGTATACACATAGGGAATACATTCACATAGTCCCAGGGATCACAGAGTGTATATACACAGGAGAAAACATTCACATAGTCCCAGGGATCGCAGAGTGTATACACACAGGGAATACATTCACATAGTCCCAGGGATCGCAGATTGTATACACACAGGAGAAAACATTCACATTGCCCCAGGGATCGCAGATTGTATACACACAGGAAAAAACATTCACATAGTCCCAGGGATCGCAGAGTGTATACACACAGGGAATACATTCACATAGTCCCAGGGATCGCAGAGTGTATACACACAGGAGAAAACATTCACATTGCCCCAGGGATCGCAGATTGTATACACACAGGGAATACATTCACATAGTCCCAGGGATCGCAGAGTGTATACACATAGGGAATACATTCACAGAGTCCCAGGGATCGCAGATTGTATACACACAGGAAATACATTCACATAGTCCCAGGGATCGCAGATTGTATACACACAGGAGAATACATTCACATTGTCCCAGGGATTGCAGAGCGTATACACACAGGGAATACATTCACATAGTCCCAGGGATCACAGAGTGTATACACACAGGAGAATACATTAACATAGTCCCAGGGATCACAGAGTGTATACACACAGGAGAAAACATTCACATTGCCCCAGGGATCGCAGATTGTATACACACAGGGAATACATTAACATTGCCCCAGGGATCGCAGATTGTATACACACAGGGAATACATTCACATAGTCCCAGGGATCGCAGATTGTATACACACAGGAGAAAACATTCACATTGCCCCAGGGATCGCAGATTGTATACACATAGGGAATACATTCACATAGTCCCAGGGATCGCAGAGTGTATACACACAGGGAATACATTCACATAGTCCCAGGGATCGCAGATTGTATACACACAGGAGAAAACATTCACATTGCCCCAGGGATCGCAGATTGTATACACACAGGAGAATACATTCACATAGTCCCAGGGATCACAGAGTGTATACACATAGGGAATACATTCACATAGTCCCAGGGATCGCAGATTGTATACACACAGGGAATACATTCACATAGTCCAAGGGATCGCGGAGTGTATACACACAGGGAATGCATTCACATAGTCCCCGGGATCGCAGAGTGTATACACACAGGAGAAAAGATTTACATTGTCCCAGGGATCGCAGAGTGTATACACACAGGAGAAAACATTCACATTGTCCCAGGGATCGCAGAGTGTATACACATAGGGAATACATTCACATAGTCCCAGGGATCGCAGACTGTATACACACAGGGAATACATTCACATAGTCCCAGGGATCGCAGAGTGTATACATACAGGAAAATACATTCACATTGTCCCAGGGATCGCAGATTGTATACACACAGGAGAATACATTCACATTGTCCCAGGGATTGCAGAGTGTATACACACAGGGAATACATTCACATAGTCCCAGGGATCGCAGAGTGTATACACACAGGAGAAAACATTCACATTGTCCCCGGGATCACAGAGTGTATACACACAGGAGAATACATTCACATTGTCCCCGTGATCGCAGATTGTATACACACAGGGAATACATTCACATTGTCCCAGAGATCGCAGGTTACAACAGTGTCATTAGCAAGGAATCAATACAACTTTGATTGATTCAATATACTGGGGTTTTGTTTTTTTCTCCGGGGACTCAATGTGCTTAGAAGAACGTGTAGCCATCTTGGGAGTGGTTCAGTTGACCCATTTATCTTACCAGCATTTCTTTGCAATGCGGGTGGAAACTGGAGTACCCGGAAAAAAAAAAGAGAACATGCAAACTCCATGCAATTAGTGTCCTGGTCAGGATTTGAACTGAAGATCCCAGTGCTGCAAGGCAGAAACCCTAATCACTAAGCCACTCTGCTACCCAAACTTTTGCATTTTTATATTGGAAAACTAAATTGCTTGTTGGCAGCCAAGTTACATTTTCTCATATCAAGTGTGTTTGGATAAATTTCACATCAATCATAAGTGCTTATTTTCATGACATTTTCTGCCTTGCAGCACCAGGGCCAGGGTGTCTTTGTTCAGTTGCCAACAGGGATCTCCTGCTACTGTGCTCTCCGTTGTTTGTGTGGATTTAACGTCAGTGCTCTAAAGGTTAATCATATAATCCCCCCAGGTGCGTCTAGATCAGGGGTAGGCAACCTTGGCACGCTAGCTGCTGTAGAACTACAAGTCCCATGAGGCATCGAAAGAGTTAAACAGCCACAGACATGACTCGCAAAGCAGATGCATGATGGGATTTGTAGTTTCACCACAGCTGGAGTCCCAAGGTAGCCTATCCCTGAACTACATTGTGGAGGGGACATTAGACTGTAGGCTCCTTTGGGGCAGAAGCCAATGTCCCTTTTCATTCCTACTACCATGACCTCATTAAAATCTTTTACATTTAAAATGTGGAATCTTACTTTCCTGTGTCTCAATGCCTGAAATACACTAGAGCTTCATTAGACACTCAACTGTGTGCCATAGGAGGCTGCAGTCGAATTTGTTAGACCTGCACACACATACTTGAGCCAGTTTAGACAACAGCCAATGAACCTACTAGCATGTCTTTGGAGCATGGAAGGAAACCCTCACAAACCTTGCTGCAAGGCATAAGTGCTAACCACTAAAACACTGTGCTACCCAAACTGATGGCCATCATCTGGGAATGCAGTGTGGAATACACACACATAGATACAAATATTCACACATGTATCAATAATAATACTAATGATAATAATAATACTTCCTACTTACTTGACATATTTCTTCTCTGCGTCTCTCAAAGTCTTCCCCACAGACTGGTAATTGGAATTTTCGGGGGTGTTGAGTAGTGGACTTGTGTCCATGGCCATAGCAGTGTGGCCGTGTCAGTTTGTGCGATGTGCTGAGATCAGTGTATGTGTGTAGTGTGAACTCATATTCCACTCTGTTCTGATTTCATGCAACGGAGATGGGGAAGTGTGACAATTCCTAATGCTGTAGGTGAATTCCCACCACTGGGGAGGAACAAGGGGCAGCATTGTGTAAGGAAGGAAGATTTGTATGTATACTGTATATGGCTGAGCTGTAGCACACAGCACAACAGGGTTAAGTTCAATATGATGGAAGCGGCAAGCCCCAACTATGTGCCCTCACTGCAAGCATAGTCCATATACAGTACAGTTCATCAGAAACTGGGCAACCACAAGAACCAGCTTTGAACCTTCGGACTTTGAGATATGGGAGCAAGGGAAAACTTTTTCTGCCAACATCTATGTACCAACGACCCAACCTTCCACAAATGTGGCCACCATTTAATCACATCAGACAGGAAGAAGCAGACAGACTATTAGTATATATGTAAATGACGCTTTCTTGAAATTAATGGAGTTCTACATCAATCAACATCAGAACAATAAAGCTGGACATACACCATGACAATTTTGTTCAAAACTATTTATTTTTGGAACAACCGTTTCATTTTCTAATAGTTGATGGGGTCAAATCAACAATCACTTTCAACCGCAGTGACTAAAAAATCAAAGGGGAAGGATGGAGTTTTTTTTCTTGAACAGACATAATTCTAGAAGTGTATGTCATTTCATATTAGAATCTACCAGTGTATGGCCAGTTAAAAAATAAGAAAAAACACAAATATTTAAATACATAACAGTGCTTGTTGAATAGTTTTACTGTCCACAGCAACCAAACTCTTATCATTTTTCTAGGGCCGACTCACCCCCCTTTTTATTTAATGAGGGTGTCTACAACTTAAGAATGCAGTAATTACATGGGGGAGTCAGAATGTAAGATTGAAGAAATTTAGAGCCACTTAAAAATCTGTAGGTAGGTAAGGTAAATAGCATATTTAATTATACAGACGTTTACATCTGACATCAGAAGGCATCAAAAGAGGAACATTCATTGACAGGTGAGGGATGGCTCCAAAAGAAGGACTGCCCCTCAAAAATAGGGTCAGTCACAATTTGTCGTGAAATGCTTTTGGCTATTATAGACGTTCACATGGATTCTCGCAAAGCAGTGTAAGAGCCAGATCTTTGTTTTTTTGCTGACCTTCTTTTTGCTGGAGACAAATTCACGAGGGTTGAGGGCTTGTTCCCACCATGTCCGGATCATGCCCAGAACAGAACAGTTTGTTCCCGGGCCAATAAAGCATCCCAATGTATCCCTATGGTATTTCTGGGCTCTGTTCACACCAGCGCAGTCCGTTCTGGTCCAGACAAAAAAAAAGACTGCTTGTCTCATTTTCTCTGGTCTGGAATGCACTGGAACACATGGAAACACACCAAAAACGCATGCAAATACACTGTACTACGCAGCACCTAAAAGTCTATTTTAAGCTAAAAAAAACAAATTGCGGTAAAAATGTGAACAAATAGGTAACATTTTTGGCAACGCATAAGGCTGGGTTGACACCATTTGCTGGACCAGTTCTGGACTAGATCTGGAACGCAGTGCATTTTTACTGCGATTTTGCCGTGTTGCAGAGCGTTACACATACCGGCGTTCGCTCACTTCTCGATTCTGTCACGGCTCTCTGCCGTGACAGGGGAGGGCTGGATTCCCCCCTCCCCGCTCCGATCCTCCAGCGCTGACTGGCGGAACAGACGGGGGAGGGGGCGGGTACAGCTGGCTCTGCCTCTAGATAGGCAGAGCCAGCTGCAACTCACGCAGCTGGGCGGATCCAGACATAATTGTCGGGATCCGCTTCAGCGTCTCAGTATACTGCGAGCTGTAGCTTGCGGTATACTGAGCTTAGGGTGACGGGAGGACGCTAGTTTGTGTCCTCCCGTTACCCTAAGGAGAACTATGGGGAAAAGCCCTAACCCCATACTTCTCCTTTAAAATATGCTTTCAGGAGCGTTCCATGCATTTATTTTTTATGTGTTTTTGATGCTTTTCTATTCATCCCAGTGCATTCCAGACAAGACAAAATAAGACATGCAGTATTTTTCTGGTCTGGAACAGACTGTGCTGGTGGGAACAGAGGCCAGAAATAGAATAGCGATACATTGGGATACGTTTTGGGTCTGGAAACAGTCTGGTCTGGCCTGGAGGTAATCTGGATGTGGTTTGAATGGCCCCTAAAGGCAGACAGAATAAAAGATAGCTGGATAGGTTGTGGTAGAGTGTTCAAGAGGACGGGAGAGGTCTGGGAGAAGTCCTGGAGGTGAGCATGGGAGTAGGTGATAAGAGAGGTAGACAGCAGGAGGTCTTGGGAGGAGAGAAGGATGGTTTGGGTGATATCTTCAGATGAGGTTGGAGATGTAGCTGGGGGCAGAGTTGTGGGTATCAGCTGAGTATAGGCTGTTTACTTAGAATAGTGAGCTTTCACAGTGGAAGGGAATTTTTAATTTTGCTTAGTGAATGAAACGAGGTTCTGCAGACTTTAACCATCCAATCATGTGCATGCAAAAATTCTGTTTTTCTTTCCTTGCACATGATTGGGTATTCTTTGCAAAGTGAATTTTTACCACAATTACTAAGCTATGTGAAAATTCCCTTGCAAAGTGATCAGCTTTAAAATAAACAAAATAATATAATTGAATAAATTGAATAAATGTATATATTGTACAAATTCTCATTTAATTATATATACCGGGCATGACTGTGTATAAGGCAAATCCACAAGTGTAAAAATCAATTTTCAACACTTTTATGTGCTAAATAAATGGATTCAATGTGCACTTAACACATTTATAATGTGTTCCTGTTTAATGAAACAAAAGTAAATTAAAAATATATATATTTTGACGACAGTTTGTGAAAGTTCCATGTCCTATTGTGAAATTACTTGCAAGTTTCCACTTCCTCTTTCATTCGACCACATCCATTTTTGGCCCAGTCACATATCTACATTTACTTCTTTGTTTTCCTTGTTCGTAGTGGGGTTTCTTGACATCTGTGCCTATTCATGGTAAGAAGATGAGGAAATTCAATACTGGTATAGAGAAGTTGTCCTTGTGAACATGCACCAACACAATTGTAATAAAAATTCTTAGAAAACTAAAATAGCAACAGGGGAACATCTCCAAACCAAAATGTCTTCTAAAGTTATGAGCTAGACATCTTAGCAAATACATCTGTTATATTTGCCCAATTAAGACAGTCAATCTAAATGGATCAGTTGGCACTGTGGCCTTGGCTCTTCCCTAGAGTTGTCAGGGGTGGCCGTGTGATTAATGTCTGGCTGGATCACAGCTGCGGAACAGATGGGGATTTGAGAAGTTGAGGAAGTTTCAGTGAGCGACTCCCAGTTACAGTAACTGCTAGAGGGAGACCGCACTCATCATGTGCTTCCTGTTAAACAATACAGAGGGGTATGATATTGGGATTTGGGGATAGTGCACCCTACTCCACCCTCCTGGGTGGCAAGCGGTATTACTGAGGTACTGGTAGATCCGGTGGAATTGGGGAGCTCGACAGTGGGAGATGCACTGAGTTAGTGGATAGCCAGCAGAGCAAATGTGGACATGGCATACGGACTGACTCAGTGATTATGAACTAGGCAGGTTAAATCAACAGCAAGCAAATGCAATGTACATCCATGCATGTATGTCAGCAATATAGCAATCAGTAATATGCGGTTGGAGGCAAGCTCCTGCAGACTCCCACAGAGTTATCAGCAAGCAATAGGTAAAGCAGAATGGCAACCCCACATGCGTCCCCGCAGTAGCACTAGCCAGTATCAGTCCAGTTACCCCTAGCAAGTAGATGCAAACTGAATATGCGATATTCCGGTACAAGTGGAGTGGTTCTGTGGGTGTGCGTGTGGGATAGCAGCAGCCAAGCAGATAAGCAGCAAGCACTGGACGAGTAGCAGCGTCTACTAAAGTTGGAACAAATCCCAGGATACTTGCGGTTTGGGTGCACAGTACAGTGGTAAGCTCACAGCGGGGTTGCACTTCGGATAGCCTACAGGTGTCTCAGTTCAGAGGGATAGGTAAGATAGCGTGGAGGTTCTCTGATCGTCACTCGACTCTCCTCAACGAGAGAACGCCGAGTGACGAGCCCTCTGACCCTTTACCCTGTTAGCCGCGCCCCGTAGGAGGAGTCGCCGTGACGTCACACACGAGACGACATGTCGCTGGAACGAGGGGACACGCCGGGTAAGTCTGTGACAGGAGTCCTGAATTATGTGCCACCAGAACTTTGTATGCAAAGAGTTCTTATGCTTTCCCAGTGTTCTGTTGGGGCCATCAATGGTCTGTGTGGTCTAATTTTCTTCAGCAACCCAAAAACACACTGTAACAGTAGCTTAGCGGGCTCTTGCTAAATTGGTCCAAGTAGACCCTTAGAGCTATATAAATGTATAATAATCGCCAGTGACTGTGGTGGGGACATGAGTGTAAGCTCCTGTGAACGGATCCGGCTTTTCTGTATAGCACTGTGGAATGGGTTAGAGCTAGAAATGCACTGATACCAGTATCGGCGCCGATACCAAGTATTTGGGTGAGTATTCGTACTTGCCCAAATGCTCCTGATACTTATCCCGATACTAGAACCTCTGGTATAAGCAAGCCGGGCGGCGAGTCATTACATGACCACCAGGGAGCATGGACCCAGCTTCCCAGCCAATCATGAACCAGGGGGCAGGTAATAACTCGCCCCCGGCTTCCTGATTGGCTGGGAAGCCGTCTGCATGCTCTCTCATCACTTGGTGACAAGGGAGCATGGAGCCGGCTTCCCGGGCAATCAGGAAGCCGGGTGGTCTGTAATGAATCGCCGCCCGGCTTTCGGATTATTCTTGAAGCTAGTCAATCAGGAAGCCGGGCGGTGAGTCATTACCCGCCCCCTGGCTTCCCGATTACTCATACTCGATACCGAATAAACGGTATTGGTCCAGGCCATGGTAAAGCTAGATGTCGTTAGTCACATTTACCTGATCT